GCATCTTGATGCCGAATTTCTCGATTTCTCGCAACTGCTCTCTGTGTTCTGAGCAGTATTGGAGAAGGGTTTGGTCTCCCCTCCTCGTGAGTTGATAGAAGAACTTCTCCAAGGCTCTTGGCATTTCGACACGACTGTCGTATTTGAACGCTGCATCCAGCGTGACCAACACTTTGTCGAAGCCGTCGGAGGACTCCACAACACTCTCAACCAAGTGTTCAACTTGTTTCCAAGCCACTCCATGAAGACTTGTCAGCAAGTTCAAAGTGGCTTCCTTCTCCTTGCCCTGCAAAGCAAGCTTGCGCTTGTACAGCATGATGCGCTGTCGCCATTCCCGGTAGTCGTTGACACGGTTGTTGAAGATCGGGATGTAGGTATCTCGCATCGCTTCAATGGTCCCACCAGCCACCGAAGATGTAGTCGACGGACCCGAGGCTGAAGGTCCATCCCCTGGAGCGGGCATTGAGCGTGCCACGCTCCGCTACCAATGTTGGTAACGTGGGGAGCAAACCACAAACCAAAGCTAGGTGCACGAAGTCCTAGACAAAGTTCTTGAAACCAATGGCCGCTAGTCACGGCCCTTTTCCATCGCCATAGCTCGTGACGCGTACGCGGCCCGCCCTGTGTTTGAGGCGGCGCGCGAGTTCAGGGTTCTCAAGGTTAAATTCCATGTTGTGTGGCACACAACTCACACCTATGATTTACCACAAACAAACCTGAGCTGGGATCGACTTGCCACTTTGGCCTAGATGTTCAGGGAAATCCCACCGAACTGGGTGAGATGGAAACAGAACTTCAACTCCTTTGGAAACTAAGTTCCGCTACAGCGCAACAATGCATTTTGTTTTACCAATTCCTGCATACTCCTAGCAAAAAACCTGGCATTTCCAACTCATCGCGCAGCGACGTCCACAAACTTCATGCTGAGAACCCTTCCTACAGTGACACTATCTTCGTAGTCCAACTGATTCACCCAACCGATTTGAATAGAACCTTGCCAAATACTCAGCCGCTATACTATCTTGTGGAACGCTTGGATGCAATGCATCGCTCCAACGGCTCGCGGTCTCCACTGAACCGCTGCTGGGGCCTCTGTAGTGCCCCAGGGTCATGGGTCGGTGGGGTTCACCCGGTGGCCGACCTCGGTGCTGCCCGAGCTCGGTGGGATTCCGGTGGGCCATGGTGGAACTCGTTCGAGAGGGCCCCCACCTCGGTTGGTTGGTTGTCTTATCGCACATGGCGATTATCGCAACAAAAGACCGACCAATTGACCTACCAAGGTCGTTTGCTACATGGCGGACCGGTCGGGCTTCCGGGTGTCCAAACCCAGTGACACATAAAGCAATGAGACCTCAATCTGATGGAGCTCTTTTGTTTATGTTGTAGCCAGAATGCCAGTCATGTGCTGGATATTAAAGACTTAGATAGTTAATCTTGAACATCCACAGGTGGTCTTGCTTACTGGAACTCAATGACCAATCACTGAATGAACGCTTTGGATTCGAATTTCACCATTGGGCCACCCAGCATCTGTGGTGACCCCCTGAGAGTATGGTACTTTGCCGAGAACGCAGCAACAAAAGGCCCGCATGTTTTTGTCTTTGGTTCAAAGGTATCACAACTAACTATATAATGATGTGTGCATCCCGCCCCTGGACACTATCAATGGGTGCATCCCGCCCCTGGACACTATGATGGGTGCATCCCACCCCTGGACACTATATATCATTATCAATTTATATGTGTAACTTGTGAAATCTCGAAAAGAACAAATGGCTGAATGACTACACGAAGATGTGCCTTGCACACACCCTGTAGAGTCCTTCAAATCCACCAAGCTATACAAGAAGGAAACCCTAACAACAATAGTCTATAGAAAATCACCAACTAATATATATATATATATACACGTAATTAGTATATTTTGTGGTCAGGACAACCAACCAAGTATATCACAAAGCCGGTGGTTGAAATGCCCAAGAATTCTCATCCCCACGTGACACGAAACACCGGTGCGCGTGATGTTCCATGTTGCTCGCTTCGACTGCTCGGACAAGGCAAGCCGCCCGCGACTCAGCGGCTTCGCAGGGACTCCAAGTGCTTCTTCAGTTGCTCTACGGAGGCCAACCTGATCCAGTCAACATCTGGATCCAACTGATCTGAGGTGACTGGTGGGAAGGTTTTGGAGTCTGTATGGCGACTCATGATGATTCATCTCATTTCAAGAAACCATTTGGTGAAAAGACTGGTTGAACCATTTGTATAGAAACAGGTCCATTGATCTTCAAATGCACTCAATCCCGATGTATCACCTCTATGGATGTGTCTATTGAGTAACCTTCTTTAGTGTTGATGAACTCGGAGGGCTTTTCTGATCTCCATCCACTGCCATCTGCAAGTGATATTTGTTCTATAGAAATCCGGAGGCATCAGAACCGCAACAGTCTCCGTCTGTGCAAGCTCCAAACCACACTAATGGTACTGCAAAGAGAAAAAGGAGTACATTGACCAGCGCCATGTTCCCAGTTGCCACTGACACACCGTGCTCATCTCTTCTCAAGAAGTACATTTACCATGTCCACGACTTGCCACTTGCCACTGAAACATACTGTGCTTTAGCCCAGCTCTTTCTCTTCTCAAGTGGCTTCAATCCCATAGGCATCTCCTCACCCAGTCGTTGGTATTGCTCCACCAGGCGTCCCACGAGCTCTTCCTGTGTCTTCCGGGTCGGTCGTGTGGCGTTTGGAAAAAGATGTCGCTGGGAGTCTACCTGCGTGCGGTTTGACCGACATCGACCGAAGTGGCGCTTAGGTGATTTTCCAGTCTAAAGAGGATCCTGTCGCTTGGGGATTTGGGGGATTGGCCAGAAGTCTAAAGAGGATCCTCTAGGCTCCTCTAGGATCCTGTAAGAGGATCCTCTAGGTTCCTGCAAAAAACAACATGGCATGGCCAAGAGCACAAACCACCCATGGACTGGACTTGGAGTACAGTGTACTGAAAACTACCCCTCATCCCGGACTCTTCATCAGGGTTTCCACTTCGGAGTATTCTTGATGGGTGATTTGTAGCAAATTTCAACTGGCACGTCGACTGGACACTGAAGACCAAATGGAAAATCCTGCCCGCTGCCAGGGATTAAAGGCGTCGTATCATCTTTTGCTGGAGATTTTACTTGCAAATACTCGCAGGGACCTTGTGGGAAAGCACACGCAAGACTTAGAGGGGTGCTCTTTCGCCTTTTCCACTCCTTCAAACAAAACCTCATGGCCAAAAAAAATGATCACATCACATCAAGTTCCTTGTGGCCGGAGACTCTGTGGCAAAACGAAAAACTGTCGCCACGTGAGGCAGCTTGCGGTGAAGGCATGAAAGTCTCTCTGTCTCCGCCAAGGCTCTCTCTGCTTCTGCTCTGTCATCTCCTAGGGACGCCATGCCCCCGAGCTCGGGGCATGCACAGGCAGTCGCCAGAAACACCACGAGAGGCTTGTGCATGACCACTGTAGCAGGCTGGTGAGGCCAACTATGTTGTAATTGAACTTGCTTGGCAAAACTGCCTTCGAGAGAAGGCAATGTTGGCCATCAGGAAGCCAAACGCAACCCAGTACCCATCTGCTGGTGGTCTTGAAAGAAGTTGAAAGTACACAGCAAGATGCCCCATGCCATGCTACAAAGAAACCATGTGCGCACCATGCTACATTTTACTGTGACAATCACTCGTAGATATTTGTATATATAGTACTGTATGTGTTTTAGTGGCTTCAAAACCAAAAAAAACAACAACTCAATGACCTCCCCCCAAACAAAAAGACATGCCTCCAAACCTCCCCCCAAAACAAAACCGTTCCCCAACATCCTCCTGTTTCGCCACCGGCAACACAGACCGATCCCCACCCCCCCGGCCCCGTCCTTCGCCCGCGTGGCACTCACGCCCTGCGGCACTTGCCGCCGCTCGGCCGCCGCCAGCGCCGCCGCGCGGCGGTCGTCGGTGCCGACGTCGGCGGTCTCGAGGCCACCGAGGCGTTGGCCGGTGGGGCCGGTGCCCCAGTCCTGGAGTCCACCAGGGAGGATTGTTTTGGACCACAAGCTTGATTCGTCCATTTTCTGTGTGGATGAGTCAGGGGTGGGGATGGTGCTATTTGGAATGCAAACAGTTCTTGAGTTTCGTCCCAGTGAACCTGTGATGTGATGTGTGAACAGTCAAACCCAAAGTTATGGTGTCACTCTGTTCGTTTCTTGCTCACCTTCAATGTGCTATGCCTCAAACAAAACAAGCGTACAATATTCGGTTCAATAACACATCGACAATCCCACGTCAATGAAAAGTACATGCCCATGAACAAAGTCCGCCTTGCTCTAGTTTTAATGCCGTGGAAGAATCATCACATGGAACCTGAAAACCACTGGGTTGTAGAGGAAAATCGTGTTCCAAATGTGCACTTTCAGGTTCCATGTGACTCATCGTTCGCCCGGCTTACAATCATCGTTCGCCCGCCTTCTGTGGACGGCCGTGGTCGAAGCGCGCATGCTTCAGCCGCTGGGGCTCTTCCACATCCCGGCTACTTCCGCAGCAGAACATCGTTGGGCTCTCTGGGCACCGCTGACCCGCCGGTGACGTTCCAAACGGAAATCGAGCGAGTTTCTGAGCCGAGAGCGGTTTTCTGAGCCGAGACGGTGAGTTGAGTCGCTGCCAGTGAGTTTCTGAGTTGCGTCGCTCTGATTGTCCGAAACGGTTGAAGTGCCGGGGGCCTTTCTTCGGCCAAGAGGGTTATGGAAGGGGACTTATGGGGTGAGTATACTGTATCTTCGACTGGACTGGACTATCTAGACTAGAGATTTGATGAGATTTGCACTGTTGGCCCTGCAAACTACAAATCTTCGACAATCACCAAGAAAATGAATCCCCAAAACACAGGTCTCCACTACCACGTTCACCCTTTGCTGGTCGTGAAGCTGCAGCAGATTCTCGTATGTTGGTTTTTGTTCATGTCAAGCAGAGGCACATCCCAGTCTTCAAGCCACGTTCCCAGCCATGAAAATGCATGGACGTCAGCTTCGCACTGGTCACGTCGACCATGTGAACATTCCTGGGCGCGTCGACGTGAACTGTGAGTGTGAGAAATTGACTGAAGAGTGGGCAGCGTAGTCCTGTGAGGGATGTTCAGCTACATGCAGCTGTTCTTGGACATGCCAAACAAGGCACTGTGTACACTGTTGCTGTAATAGGAATGTACTTTGAATGTGTTGCACATGTTTCGATGTTAGGACGTCCGGCATCATCGTTTTACCACGTGTTGCACATGGACGCAGGATCTGTACACCGCTTTCCAAGGACTAAGGGTAAGGTACCGGCGGCTAGGATGTCCCGTATCACTCGTTCGTCGGAAAAGTCAAGATATCACAGTCTTGGATGAAACGCCCATGTACAAAGTCAAAGATAATAATATGTTTCAAAAACAATTTGTGTAACACATAAAAAGGGGAACATCAGGTGCCAAGCAGGATCACTGAAGAAGCAACACGAGGTTGGGTCGGTCGCCTTGAGCATCACATACACTCTACAGTGCGAGATCATCGACCTTTACTCCAAACAAATACCACGCGCACTCCGTTCACTTGAACTCCATTCGTACTTCCACCCCTCACTGCTTTTCTGACCCTCGCTTTGGAGCGCTCTCCCCCACCAAGCTCCGGGTTCACCCCTCAGGATATTCTACGAGTTTCAGGGATTGTGACTGATCGATGTATTTCCCACGGTCAGCAGCCATGTCCAGCACCACTCGCTGCTTGATCTCCCACACGGTCTTGTAGAGTGCCTACCCGGTTTTGGCAGCACGGTTTGGAGTAGTCGGGGGCTGCTTTGGGGGTCTCAAGTTGACCTTAAGCCACCTGACTCAATGTCATCAGCCATATGGGCCATATGGCCGTATGATATATATGCCCTGGGGCTCCAAGTACCTCCTCAGAAGGTATCTGGACCCTCTAAACCCACCCTAAACACCTTCTCAGAAGGTACTTGGAGCCCTAGGGATGGGCGTGTATTGAACATGGGGGACCTCTCAAGCAAGGGGAAAGAAGGAAAACTAGACCAGTCTACCTATTGGGCCAGGGCGTCTCCCAATTAAAATTAACACTCATATACATGTACATATGTCTTTGGGTAATAGTAATACGCTTTGAACAATGTCCATTAGCACTCTTCACTTTGACGGTTCCTGGAGCAAAGTCGTGAAAGTCAAGAGCAGGGCCGCCAGCCTAAAGTAGGGGAGACCTTTTTGGTACTCTACATAGAAACTAAAACCCAAGGATCTAGAGACCCACAAAATAAAGACATAGAAAAGGCATTTGAGAAGTACAGCACAAGATCACTACTATACAGTTATATACAGTTATAAGGTCCATTACCGTACACAACCTTGCTACAGTGCCTCAAAATCATGCACCCTAATTTTGGTACTCTGCTGCGGAAGTGTTGGGTTCTTCGATCTATACATTTCTAAACATTTATCCAAAGTGATGAGACAAAAGCTTAGGAACTACTTGGACGACACATCTAAGCTATACCGGATGGTTGGTAAATACGCTCCATGACCAAAACATCCCATGGCACAGCTAATTAGTATAGTATATATAATGTACCAGTATAGTCTATTCCGCTCGTGCTTGGTGTGTTCAGTGTGTTCACCTGCGAACGCGCGAGGCCACAAGGCCCAATTTTCCCGCAAAAAAAACGCCGAAGCTCGGTAGCGTGATGGGATTGGAGCCTTTTCGGGATGTCAGTAGCATCATAGAGCACCCAAAACATTCTACAGCATAACAATTATATATCCCTTGGCCCTTGGAATGCATTCTCAAGAATTCCTGCTCAATCTACTTCCGTGGTACAGCAAGCCTCAAAAATGGATGTCAATCCCCCGTCCTTCAAGTCCTCGGGCAAATCCAACCGTTGGACGCTGCCGTTCTCTGCGATGAGCTGCGTCCGCAACTCCTGTGAAGACCAGGCCAGCCAGTTGGTACACGTGTCCAACGTAAGCGACCGACATCAAGTACTTGCAGTCCTCCAAAACGGGTTCATGGACCTGGCCTAGTCCCTTTTGACTGTGACTACTGAGGAAATGTTGGGAGGTTCCCCATTGTTCCCACACACAACTTGGGACCCTGGATGACCACGGCACAAAGCACTCACCTTGAGGCAGAGATCACTTCCAAGCACTCCAACAAGAACTTTTGAGACTTACTTGAGATTTGGACTTCTGAGGACAGAATCACCCAATATCACACAAAAAAAGATATGAGGGACGGTCAAAACTCCTTATTCTTCTTCAACAAAAAATGGACGTCATCGGTTTTGAGTTGGACCTTATCGTTTTACAGTGTTTTGAGTTCGTCGCATACTTATGATCATATACAGCGCTGGGGTTATCGGTTTTGAGGTGGACCTTATCGTTTTGCAGGGTTTTGTGCACAAACCTACCCGTCTTTACTAAAGTGGTCTTCGCATGTTTTGACCGTGGCTCATATAAGAGTCGAGCCGCTTTCACAACAAAAGAGTAGCAGGAAGCTTCATGCTCCTTGTTCGAGAACTCTTGAAGATCCAACGAGAACACTGGACAACACTGGAATACCTCAAAACTTATTTTGTTTGGATAGCAAACATACGCCGCTACGCAGGCTTAAATAAGTCATTTGCAGCAAACTGAGGGTCCCATCATGCACAACACCCGTGGCACCCGCGCAGCGCCTCGTTGTAGAGGCCCCTGGCAATCAGATCCTTCAGCAAATGCCGGTTCACCTGGCGTCAGCGCCCTCGACCCAAGCGGGCGTCAGAATGGTCACATTCGATGTCACACCCGGGCGTCATGTTCCGTACCCCAGCGACACCCGTCCATAAGTACACAGGAGTTGTGGTCACCCACAGGAGTGTTGGGGGGGGCACCTATACCTACCACCGGAATTTCATCCGTCGCCTTGAACCAGGCGTCGAGGACCAAAACATCTCCTTCACCGACCAAAGTCTCCGCGGAGACAGACTTAGGGCGCCGGTCCGGAATACGTTGATGCCTCCCGAGTTCGGGCCTCGCCTGGACGAACTCTCCAGAAAGGACCCGGCGGACATAGAGATTCTGCCTGAGCTTTTGGGGGCGAAGATGACTGGATGCCTGTGGGAATGCGTGGCGGAACTTGCATGGGAAATGCATGTGTTACGCAGCATGTGGGAACTTCATGGAACTTTGGTGACCCTTTCTTGCCTTCGCTCCACAAGAACATGCATAAGAGCATGCTAGAATAGAATTCAGCAGATTTATGACACATCTGGCAGCTCTAAACGGCGCAGGAACACTATCATAACAATATATAACAATAACTATAGACATGACATATCTATATATATAGACATATTATATAGACTATAGACTCGACATGAGGAACGAAACAGAATGACACATCCCTGTGATCACATTGTTTAATGGCCCTGCCAATGCCCCAGGATGGTCCAGGCGACGTGTGCGCTTAAAACCAAGGGTTCGCATGGTGTTCGACATGGACCCGGAAGAGAGTGAATACAGGAGTTAATTAGAATTAACTCCGGTGTTACTTCTTCATCTTCAAGCCCTATTCAACCCTGCACTCGATGGGGAATTAACTCAAGAGTTAATTCCCTCAGCAACGTTGTGCACAAAGACACACCAAGAACGAATTAACACTGGAGTTAACTCTTTTCCTTGGGTTGGGTTTCTTGTTTCCTTTTCCTTGTTTCTCTATGGATGTTTCCTTTAGCAAAGGAGAAGAGAGGCAGGAGGCAGGAGGCAGGGAGGCACCGGCTTCTGGGAGCTCAACCAGCTCCACTTCACACCATGGTAGGTGCTGTCTTCCCGGTTTCCGGGCAGATACTACCAATGCCATGCTTTTTCAAGCCAAAACTGCCATCCAAATACGTGCGAAAAAGAGTTAACTCTGGATTTAATTCTTTTAGATAGACAGAAATCGACTGATATATGTGGAGCCAGCAGGACCCTGTGGGAAAAGAATTAAATCCAGAGTTAATTCTTTTACATGGCAGCATTCAAGGAGGAATTAACTCCCAAGTCAATGCTTCTGATGGAACCTTTGATGAGTAGCAAATCCTGAAGAATTTAATCAAGAGTTAAAACTAATTAACTCTTGTATCTACTCTTTTTCTGGTCACTAGGGTCACCGGCCGCTTTTTCATGGTATACGGATCCAGTCATACCTTCTCGGAAGGAGATGTGTTCGACACTGTGGTACGACCGGTGCCCAAACGTCGGGTCCGGTCGTACCGAACCAACGGATCCCTCGGTCCAGTCTCCGATCCTTCGGCCAAATCCCTCGGCGCGCGCAAGCTTGCGTGCGCGCCGTGCGGCGTGTAGGGCTCAAAGGACTCGTTGTTGCCCAAGATCTGCGCGGTGGACGCCGTGGGCATCGGAGCCTGAAAAACTGCGCCGCAGGTCGAATGTAGGACAAGGGTGAAGCTGCCAGTTCTGCTGCCCAGGCAGAGTCTGAAATGATTTGGGTAGTGAGTTCTTGGGACTTGTCGTGACTTGTCTTCATTAATCATCTGTGACACAATCACTGTGACAGTCACCTGTAGAAGTTTCTGGAACATGGACTTGTTTCCAAAAGGACAACAAAGGATCATTCACGGCAAAATGTTTTGGGATGATGAACACTCATGTCCAATAAAAGGGGAAAACTGGAATTGATCCTTTTTGCGTCCAAAAGCACTGTGGACCTGGTGTTGCCCTGGATGCCCATCTGCTACACCATCTATTCTGGCAACACTTGGATTCCATCTATTCTGGACCTTGCCTGGGTCATGTCAAATCCCAACCCAAATCCCCTCACCCCCAAAAAAAACAATAAAAACACACAAGCAATGGGACCCGTCCCAGGCCACCCGCGCATCCACACGAAAACCAAGCAGCCACCAGCAAGGAATTCCTCAGGCCGTGGAGAGCCATGTCCTTCTTCAACCGGGCCCAGTCCCATCGGCCGCCTCAGTCCATGGCGGTTCGGACCGGGACGACGGTCGGGTCGGTCGCGCCGACCTTATCGAGATGCTTGGCGGATGGGTCGGCTTTGATCACCAATAGGGTTGGCAAAATATGCATCCAAACGTATAGAATGGTGACCGAATCTTATATGATATATCGATACAGTATATTGCTGTTTAATTATATCTTTTTTATATAATATGACTATAGTGGGAAGGGGACCAAAACAATCGGGCAGGTCAGAAACCAGTAGAATGAGGAATGTAGAGGACCACTGGCTTGGGTCCTTTGTTTTTCACGCGCTGTGCAGTTACTTGAGGTCCAATAGTCTCATGGCTATTGTCACTCGTAAGGACGTGCACATCAGCATGTGGGCCAATTCATATCTCTCCATGTCCAGACAAATCCATCCTGGCCACTTTGGAATTGACAGAATGTCCCGATTCCGGGGCCGTCCAAATTCCAAATGCTTCGCAAAATGCATCAACAAAGCAATATCCCTGTTGGAGGTCGACCTGTGATGCAACAACCACCTCTCCGTCTGTCAGTCAAGCCAGACTGAAACACATCTTGAAGAGTCATCCCAATCATCCACATGTTCTACACCTCTTATGGACTTTGTGCGAAGTTTGATTTCTTCTCGTGTCCTCACAAAACTAGTTAACAAAGCTTTGGAACCTTTCCTTCCTGCGGTTTCACCTCCGCGCAAACGCGCAAACGCCCTTCGCCCTGCGGTTCACCAGCTGAGTCACTTTTCGGTTGGGCGCCCCAAAGATCGAATTGCAACAGGCCTGAAACAGCGAAGCGTCGCTGACGAAAGCCGTCTTGTGCGAATGGCCCGAGCTCGTGAAGATCTGGAGAGTGTCAAGTGATATGCAAGTAAGGTGTTCTGTTTTCCCCGCAAGCTCGTGATCTTATCTTCCAAATGAGATGCTTGATTCTCTGGGGGGTTGGGGGTTGGCGACATTTCACTCCCCTCCCCTCCCCACCGTCCCCACTCCCCTCTCCCCCACTCTCGTCACCTTGGCTCGCAGGGCTACCCACGTAGCTCTCGTAGCTCCCATGCTGCCTGGCCAAGTCACCTGAGCCGCGGCAGCTGCGGCGATCGGCCAGATCGACCAGGGATTTGCGAAGACGAGACATCGCCGAGGGATTTGCGAAGCGTATCATGATACGTATCATATGAGACTACAATGAATGAATATAGTATACTTGACTCTGACATAATATATTTGATAAGACTATATTAATGATTTGACTCTAGTCAAATAGTCAAGTATCAAATATCAATTGATGATGCCACAAAGCATGATGATGCCGCATGATGCCACTGCATGAAGAAAGAGACAATCCGACTTTCGGTTCACTGAAAGACAAAACGAGTCCTGTTTGTGAGGCTGATGTCCTCCCAACAAAAAGCCGGCCGAATCGCCAACATGAACAACATTATAGACAAAGGGGGGTGACTGGGCATGACAATTGGTTTCCATAGGCCACCCCCATGTGGAAAAACATGAATTTTGACCTGCCCTTACATGAAGCAAGAACTTCCTCCACATGTACCTCTTGTATTCCAACATGTTCCAACTAAAACATTCTCGGGTTTTAGGGCAACAAAAAAGACACTTGCCACTACCCTTGCCCTACCTGCATACCTTCTCAGGAGCCTTGGTGGAACCCCCAGGACTCGGCTAATCGATGCCAGGCCACAAGAAGCCTCACAAGCGGCAAAGTAGATCGTCTCGAAGATGTCCTGATGAGCCAGTGGGGTGATCTACCTGCTCTGGTGGGTAAAAGCTCTAAAGCAAAACCATGAAGAGCCTAAACCACCCTAAAACCTCGAGAAAGTATGAGGTACAAGGATGGAAAATGATGGAAGATGATGGAAGAGCCAGGTAGGAACTCGTTTTGCAGTGATGCAAGATGTTGGTAGCTCATCAGTGCGAAGTCTTCCGAGCAAACGCGAGGCCCACGCGAGGCCCACGCGAGGCCTAGACGATGCCAAGACGATGGTGTAGTGGATCTAAGACTGATACCATTCTGATCCTTTGTTTTGTGGTGATCAGCTAAGCAATTTTGCAAGCAACTATCCAACAATTCCGGTGGCGTATCAGCAACCCAGTGGAATTGGTTGTTGCTTGGAACCCTTACACCAGTGCTCTTGGTACAAGATGTATACACGTTCCCTGGCATGGAAGTGAAAAACCACCGCTTTGGTGTTCCGAAAATGGTAATCCTTTCAGGGACATGCCATCCACATTGGCCCATGGATAATTTCAGAGTGGAATTCTTCACTACCAACAGGCCATTCACTGCCACGAGGCCAATGAATTATACTACCAATTGGAATTTCTTGGAACATCATTTGCCTGTGCTCTTGGAACCAGATGGTACGCTCCGAACACATCACATGGTTAGGTGGAATGGCACCCCCTGTTATTTTAAGTCGTCTTCCGTGAAAGGGGCCATGCATGGTCATGCCATCCCATGCCACGTTGGCCCATGGTTTCAGCTGTTCTTCCAATGGTTTACAGCTGGATCCACTGACGGCGCGGGCGGTGTTTTCCGCGCCCCCCGGACCGTCGACGTCGGCGGTCGAGTCTCGTCAGGACGAAAGGCCGTCCTCATTGAGGCGCTGTGCTTCGGAGCTCTCGAAGGGGAGCTTCCTCAGGCTGAAAGCGGCGGAGAGATGTCTTCTGGTTCTCAACAACTGCATTGGTCCAAAAACTCTTCTCCAGCACTTTTTTTGGAGGGGGGCTTCGTATCTTCAAAGAATCTCACGGGATTGTATATCTGAGGTGCTTGATCAACGGTCTGTCATGCTTACAAGGCTTACCATGTCTGGTGCAAAAGCTCATCTAGAAGATCAACCCCTATAGTCACTGCCTAGTCACCCAACCCAGGAAGGTGGATGGTCATGGATTGAAACTAATTCAGTAAACTCTTCAATCAGTCTTGTACCGAACTTGTACCATAGAACATGGGGAATACAGCGAAAACCCGTCTTACACCAGAAACCTCCTCACACCCTGTTTCGCTGCCAGCTTAGGCAAATGCATCTCACTCTGGCCTAAAGCACCATGTGGTGCGACGGAGATGAAACCCGCTTCGCGTATCTCGCGTCGAACCGCGGTGTCTCAAGCTCAAACCGCTCCGAGGCACATCATCAAGAAGACATCGGCCAAGCCCTGCACGCCCAGACCGACTGGCCGGTGCCGCAGATTGGAACGTCGGGCCTCCTCCAAGGGATAGTAGTTCCTGAGAGGAGAACAGCAAAAACCCAATGCGGTAGACTGAAGGGAACGGAGGAGCTGGACGGAGGTGAACATTGGAAGCGAGTCAAACGGGAATCTGGCATGTATATCATCCCAATCAAATGACATGTTACTATATGCTTGCTGCATCAAAGTACCAACTATAATCGTTGCTGCATGTCACATATAACAGCATAACATGCATGTTGAACACTAATAACTTAATAACTATATGTTCTCACCTTGTCGTACCACGCCAATCCCCCACCACTCCCTCCGGTGGATTGCTGGAATTCCCTTATAGGTTCGTTCGTTTCGCTGAGACGGACGGCTTCGTTTTCGCCCGCCGCGGCCCGCCCGAGCGACCGTAGCGATGGCCCAAGGCGCCGATCGATGACTTTGTTGAGGTTCCGCGTGACCACCTGGTGGAGAGGGTCGATGTGAGACCAAATGGTGGTGAAGTGGGAACCCAAATGACAGATCTGTGGCCCCCACCAAACAGATCTGAGAAGGCAATTACCATAATCGATTTATTTGTTAATACAGATTACATGATAAACGACATACTATATAGTGGTGAGGTGTTCAGATCCCAAACATCATCCTGTCAGCTCGGGTTTCACCGGGACCGAAAAAGCCCGGTTTCCCCGTGACCTCCGGAAAGCGGACCTACCACGGAGCAATGAGTACCATCCAAAGAGACCCTGGTAGGCCAAAGACTGATTCAGGGACCTACCAGGTCACCTGTTGGATGGCCATGGATGGCCCATGGATGGCCAATGGGTCCTTGGTCACAAACGTAGACATGTGGATCACCGATGGGTGAAAGGTACTCTTGGCGGATTGAAGGAAGATCGATGCGAATGAAAACATGGTCTAACACCACATGAACTGGTTGCTGTCACTGGTTGCAAAACTTTGTGACTGTGTTTCTGCATGTTTGTTTTCTTTAGGATTAAGCCTTGGTTGATTTGGGCATAACTACTGCAAGTCATATAGCAAAATCATTCTGATAGCCCCACTATGTTCATCTATGTTCCAATAAAAGAAGAAGAGTGTCAGTGAGATAGCGCGGAGACGTCTCCGCGTCTGGTCAAGAAATTGAAGAACATGGATCACATCCGTCGAGCGACGGTCCCTGTTCATATGTTTTTAGTGTTTGTCCACTCTTTCCCTCAGTGCGGTTCACCGTGGGATCCATGGACGTTGGACATGTCTCCGAACGTCCACCACCCACATTCCCCAATACATGGGACATTTTGATCATACCTCATAAAGCTGCACCTGTTGTGGATCTGAAAGCCAAAAAGGGGATGTCAACAAATTATATATATATATATATAAAACATACAGTATCCACCCCCGCCTTCGTGACCTCGTAAAGCTTCTGGAAGTCGAAGTCCTCAGCGAAGCCAGCCAGTTGAAAAATGCTCCCAGCGCTTCGACGAAAGCGGTTGCTTTGTTGCTGATTTCGTTCCAAGGTTGCCAGCAAAGGTTGAAGACCCCCATATAGAATTATGCTATAATATGAATATGCTATAGGTACCTGAGGTGACCGAGTCCTTTTTCAGGTTGTCACGAAAAACCTCGATTTGGTGGACGGTGTTGTCGGTGTCGAACATGACAACTCTTTTGGGCCGTTTGGGTGGGGCGTGGTTTCGTTGGGACACTCTTGTAGGAGACTGTTGTGGGGACACGCAAGCGAATTCCGTGAAAGGGGGCTGGTGACGGCCGGGGGGAACCTTCTTGGACCTGTGCGCGAATGGAATGGAATGGTTTGGGGGGGGATCCCGAAAGCTTCAAGGCAAGAATCTTCACTGGATCTTCAGTTGAGACAATTGGTTGCTGGGCGGTTAGCCTGTGATGAGAACGATTAGTTCTGCTAAATAATCCACCATAGGCTGGATAAAGTAAAGTATAGGATTCCAATCAGGAACTTCCCAAGAATCATGGTCACCTGTCTACCTCGCTGCCTTAAGCAGAAGTGGTTTTCACACCATCCGAGAATCTTCTCCGTTGGTGAATGCAGGCAATGCGATGGATGCCTCAGGCGGGGCAGTGGTCGGGGCAATCAATGATGTCCTTCAACCTACGGCTAATATGATGATTAAAAAAAAAAAAACAACACAGTCAACACAAACAAACGTGTATATTCAGGAGTGGCTGACCCTCCAACTCAACCACTCCAAAAGGAGCCATGTTGACTATGTCCACCTGAAGTGGTCAAAAGAACGGTGGGTATCTGGGGTGAGGGAACTGTAGGAAGGAAGCATGGGGCAAGGGGTGCATGAGATGGGGACCTATTCTAATCCCCTTACCTGTCTGGGTGGGAAGTTACACTGGAACATCACTTTGCTTGGCAACCCGATAGCCACAATACATCAATGAAAAGGTACAAACGATCGTTTGAGGGTCCGTACCCCGCTGGCTTACCAGGTTTACCAGTGCCCCAGATATCAACCAGCTGGGGAGCTGAGGGGGGGTATGCAACGTCTTGTCTGACTGGTACTTGCTTGATGTTGATTGCTTCGCAGGTAGGGAGTGTTCACCCTCAGAGCTCACCTAATTGGTCACTGCAAGCGAGCTCTACCTGGATGGTCATGGACAAATGAGTTTAGAGCAAGGTTGAACTTCAAACAGACTTTCCTATAGAAAGTGGATCTACCAATGGTACTTTGCAACTGGGTCGTAACATCCTCATCACTGGACGGGTCATCATGGTTCCGTGTCCAATCGCCAGGGCACCAAATTGCAAACAGCCACCTCATCAGGAGCCGTGTACTCAATGACTTCGCTACATAGGTTGGAGCACTGAATGGTGCCCAGGTTTCGCTGGTTCGACTTCCGGTTCGCGTGATCCTGCCCGGTATTCGCGTGGAACCGCATGGGTTTTTTTTGGCCTACCCAGTGGTGCAAAGAAACATGCTTTGAAGTTCATCGTCCTTTTCTTTTCAGAACATCGGTCTTCCGGCCCCTGGATTCTGCTACACAATCTTAGCTGGAGGAAGGGTCATTGAAACTTTGCCTGTAATGAAAGGTGAAGGTCAAAAAACATGAAAGTCCGTTCATGGGGCTGATATGAGCTGATGGTTTCCTGAGGGAAGTAGCCAGTCTGGCCTGCTTTCAAAATCCTTCCGTGGTGGACATGTGGGTCAAAACGTGTCAAAACCCCTGCTCAAGGCCCTTCGCCCATTTGGTCAAAGCAAAGCACAGAATCCTTAGTACATCACACACAAATGGAAAACCTGTGAACTTTCACCGTTACACATCTTTAGATCTCTTGTAGATATAGAATATCATCTAGAATCGAATCCTTGGGGAACCTCATGCTGAAGCTGCATCTTTTGGGCTCGCATATTTAAATCTATATCTCTTCCCCACATCATCCCCCTTGCTTCCAAACGCCCTCATCACTACATCAAGAACCTACCCACCTCCCACACCGGTCCCACCCGGGTCCTTGTAGAGCATGTACGGCGTCCCGGTCTCCATTTGTGCCTCGATGATCCGAAACCACAGCTGCTGCGCCCGCACCGTGCGCCGGCCCTTCTGCTGTGCCTCCAGCTTCCTCGGGGCGGATCGACCCGGGTCGGTGCGGACCCCGTGCGCCGCGGTGGACCGTTGGGACGTTCGGGTCGCGGCCGGACGCAAGCGCGACAGGGTGCGGAACCGGCTGAGGCTCTTGGACGAGGGGTGTGGAACTGAAAACCTGTGCGCAGCAGGCTCCAACTGGCGCAACCTTTGTATAGTATGTAGTATACTATAAGCGGATGCAAGTGGGATGGCATGGTGAAAGCTCAAACAAAGGATAAGATTCCCAAAACGCTCCATTGGCCAGAGCAAGTCTTCCTGCGGTTGAAGGAGAACACAAGAGCATCTCCCTTTCCCCACAGTGGTGTGAAGATCTTCGAGACCAACCTGAGCGTGGTGATTCCTCACCACCTTCGATGGTAGGCCACCTCCTAGACCAGAAAACTGGGCGAACTCTGTTTGGACTCCCATACTATCTCATACTACTCTCCACCAGTGGGGGCGGTCGTGATGTTCACCCAGCGCTACATGTCTGCTCCCCGTGCCAGGTGTCTCATAGAGGGCTTCGAAGTCCTCTCCCCAAAGATCAATCCTGAGAGAAGCGACGATGGGCGAGATCGGGGTTCACCGGTGAGAACGTGTCGCGATCTGGATCCTTCCAACGTGTTGATCCCATCATATAGTTCTTGTGTGGTTGTTGTGGTTGTGAAGCTGGTAGCACTGAAATTAGTCTAAGGCAAAATATGTGTTTGGGTCTGTAACGATCTGCATGTATAAGGACTACAGCGACTACAGTGGTTCACATTGAGCCAGGTGCTTTTGGGGCCACCAGACTCTATAGACAGTCTCCAACGAGAGCTCACCTCCATCGAAACTCTCCTGGAAAACCGAACTCATCGACGCTGCTTCACGGCGAGGCCACGGTGGGTCTCAAAAGCTCGATGGCAGGAGGGGAACACCGTGAAAGCGTTCGGATGGCGCTTTTGGACCGTGAAAGCGTGGCGAGTGCGGCGAGTGCAGGCTGCAAGAAAACAGGCGTGTTACCCAGTTTTCCCCAACTTAACTCCGGAGATGATCCACAAACACGAAACACCAAGGGCGGAACCATCGACCTTCTCAGCAGCCCGGCTTTTTTCCCCAAAAGCAGAGGCAAATCTGGTCATCATCATCTGATTTTTGCGAGGGCGACAACAATTAAACGTCCGCGCTGGCTCTGCTCTACGCTTGCTTTTCAACAGCCCAGGAGTCAATCCCTTGCCAGTCTCTGTGTCATAGGCTTCGTTGGGACAGAAGAGCGTCCAGTCCTTGTCCTCCTTCACACCTGGGTCCGCGTCCGTTAGCAGCGCTGAGGGCGCGCATCCGCCGGCAACCAATCCAAAGAACGAAAAGTCACGGGCCCCAGACCAAAGAACATATATACAGTGATTTCAGAGTAGATGGCACAAACCCAAAGATGTTTATCATGTGGGGGTCCTTCTAAACCACCTTTAAGGGATTGTCTACTCTGAAACCACAGTACCTAGGTCATTCTGTCAATCCTGTCTGGGTGTCCTGTCTGCCCACTGCTAGATTGGCCCTCCGAATGTTCAACACCCAGAAGGATGATCCTGGAATCCTGGTATACAAATGACCCCCCAAAACAGGCAAACCAATGTAAACCACCACAGTACCACCAGAATCAGTTTGCATCCATTCTTCCTACATGGCAGAGGCATGTCACTTGACCAAACCGTACATTTGTTCTACCAACTGTGGGGGAGGGGCATGTCTTCGTAACTCTGAAGTTGGAGGGTGACCTCCGTGACCTCCATCTTAAAGGTGTGAATCGATCAAAAGTTGTGAATCTGAACTTCTTCACAAAGCCTTAGGATGGGTCTTGGGAGCCACTCAAACAGTTGCACGTCTCGCGGCGCCATTCCGTCGTCGCGTTCTCCATGCCGTGCCAGGCATGGTGAGCAAACCCCTGCATTGCGGGTCATTCGCATCTCATTCCATTCCAAATGGCCAAACACCACAGGGACCATCCGGCGAGCAGCGCTCCGAACCCGTCGCTGCTCCCGACGCTCCAAGAGACGTTTCATGAAGAGATCGGGAACCCAAAGCCCGAAGAACAAGTCCCTGCACCGCTGACGTCGCGTCGCGAGCGCGACGCCGGGATAGTGGAAGGAAAGCGGCTGACTCCGTCCAACTGACGGATGCTTGAAACCTGGATCCAAGAGCAGTGGTACATCATTATGGTCAATCAGGTTATATAATCTTAGATCGAAGACATATCGACTGTTTGGAACCTGGAAAGTGGAACAAAACACATCTTTGTTACCTCCTTGATAACTGGGTGCGCACGGGTTCCAAAAACAGTGAAACCTCTAATGCTCAGCATCTTAAAAGCTGGTTTGTGCCAGTGGTTAACATAACAAACATAAGATACATAATATATTCTAACACATGAGTTTCTCTCTTGTTGAACCGGCATCTTGAGGTCGTTCTGCTGTTTTATTGTTTTCCTCTGGCTTTGGATGTTCTCCTGGGTCAAGATATGCTGAAGTAGATTCCAGGAGAAACACGATACAAAATTCTGAAGAGTATGCTCAAGCATCAGCACCTGCAATCTGATCTCTTAACCAAAGACCCATGTTCTTGTAAGAGCCACCAACTCCGGGTGTTTGGGTGCGATGAGCTCCGGGAACGGTTGGGGACCCCCCCGGACCGACTGGGAATGGCAGGGCGGACAAAGATCGTGGGATTGGTCCGCGGGTCAGCGACCCGAAACACGTCAAAACCTTAAAAGGATTAGACCAACTTGCTGAGAAGATGGGCCAGGGGTGGGTGCCAGGGGATGGTCTAACCACCTTCTGAGGAGATGGGCCAGGAGCCCTAGGGAGAAAAAAAAACAAACACACATGCCAGGAGTCACAAGACGGGGTGGTGTTTGGTCCCAGCCAGTGAGTGGAGTAGCTGGGCACCCTAAACCTCCATTAAGCACCCCTTTGTGACTGCTGGTGTATAAGTGCTTTGACCGGATTCATCATCGATGTCTTTGGTCTTTTCCAATCAGCGCACCGTTTAGTTCCTGTTTCTTTTGTGTGTGTGCCTGCTTTTAATTTGAATGCGAAAGGCAGTGACTGCAGATGCCAGGACAATTCTTCCTGGGAGGATTGTTGATCAAGTCCTGGTTTCGATGATCTTGTTCATTGCATGGGATCAAATTGGGTTTGGTCTATATGATTGAGTTGTATATATAATACCTGGATGGCACAGTTTGCCCATCCAGACTGTGCTTTTCTTCGGATGAACAAACCTCAAACTGCCCCTTGAGGAGGGTGAAGTTTCCCATCACCCACACCAAAACCTTCGGTTTGCTTAAGGAACCAAGAAACAGAAACACATTTTCCCCAGATTTCACCAGAAAGGGATTCACCCATGGGCAGTATCAAGATCACCCTAAGCAATACCCAAATCACACATAGAATCTACCCCAAACACCGTCGCCTTTGTCTTCGCCGCAGTTTTGGGGTGACGATCTTCCAAAACCCCTCGAGGCCTTGCACGTTGCTCCTCCTTCCCATGATTCTTTCGCAGCTCCAAGAACTCAAAAACGTCCGCGTGCCAGGGCTCCTGAATGGACCGAAGACAGTGGATCCGTTTCGATGAAGCGGATGCCCTTGGAACGAAACCGAGAAGGTGAAGCGAGCTCCGAACTCTACCTGTTCGTATCCGGATGCGGGGTGGGACACCCCATCCAACAAAAAGGCTTTTTTGCAGGGTCATCTACTCCTGCAGCATCATGGAACTCCTGCTATCGGAAAGCGGGCGGAATCCAAAACCGCCCGCCTGCGGGCGGTGGTTCCAACGAATGTGGAACGAGAGAAATGGAGCACTTAAGGGTGGGTTTTCCATGGTTTTCCCCTCCCCATGGAGCACTCCGAGCTGCCAAGTTCCTTTTGGGAAGAGAAAATTGATCCTCCGAGGGCCAGGCCGATATCCCAAATCAACTGCAGGCCGAAGCTCTAAATACATGGCAAAGGCGCCCTTGCGCCTGCCCCCGCCCTGATCCACGTATCTCGCAGTTTCATTGAAGGTCCTGCCATGCAAGCAGCGACCATTCTGTCACCGACCCAAAGACCCCTCGACTGCGCAACTTGGCATCGTTTGGCACTGCACTTGCCCCACCCCACATATCACCTAAAAACCGCCATCCAAGTAGAAAGCCTTCCCCCAAGCTGCCCAAATCATCTGCCCAGTGGCTGGCATATCAAAAAATAAGGTCAACCTGGCTGGCACCACCTCTAGTCCATCTTGGATAAAGGACCGCAGCCTATGGGTTGTGCGCCCCAGACCAGCCATAGTCTTCAAAGGGGTAATTAACTGTAACTATTGCAGTCAATGGATTGGCTGGGAATGGACACCCCTCCAGGAGAGGCCTTGGCATCCCTTTTTGGTATCGCGTTGAACTTCACAGGGTTTGTTCACACAGGCAAATGCTCACTTGCGGAGCAACTGCCTGATGATCCAGAATCTACATCTTTTGCATTGGCACAGGACCTCGTGTGTAGATATTTGTTTGGATTCATTTGGGATGAAACGACGGAAACGCCATGGAAGGGAAGTGGCATCTTCCAACACATGACCATCAGAAGCGTTTGGAACAAGGGCACCTGCAGGGGCCGAATCCATGGCTCACCCATGACCCGACGTCCTCAGCATCGGGACCAAGCCGTTGCTCTTCCCGTTGGCACCTCTCACATAGCTTCCAGTGGCACGGATCTTGCCTTGGACCAGGCCACGAGTTGTAAGTTCACACACTGGGAACAGGGCAGATGAAGCTCCAACAAGGAGAGGTCACCCTGCAAGGTATACGGTTCCAAGAGATATGTCTGCTCCAAATGCCATGCTCCATGATGCAAACTAATTGAACTTCAGAATGAACAAATTTGCGAAATCTGGACATGCTTCGGCACACTAGAGTAACCAGTTCAGTGGCTCAAAAAGGTAACTGCCGGTACAGGACAAGAGGATTGTAAGCGTCTGCATCCTGCAAGTACATGAATCACGAAGTGCCCGTTGACGCGTCACTCTTCTGAGCGGTGGTAGATCACCTGTTGCCCACAGCAGTTCCCGAGCTGCAAACAAATAACTTGAACTCCTGGGAGAGGATCGGATTTGACAGCCACACCCGCCACCTGGATGTCATCACATCGAAGAAACCTAGCGCAACCCAAGCTGACATCCCCACGCAACAACAAAACAACAACAACTTCTCTTAAGATGCATGGTCAGTAGCTGGAAGCCATGTGCAACCCATGAGCCGATGGCCACCCCAACGGACCCCACGGACCTCACCCCGGTCACGGCGGACGGGACGAGGTGCTGATGGCCACCCCAATGCCACCGGCAGACTTCGAGATGACCGCCTCACGCCAAACACCGCCAAGACCGCGCAAAAGAGAATAACCAGCACGGTAGTGGAATTTAGCGATATGTTTCTTAGTTGAAAAGGCAGGAAGTGGTAAGCGGCCTTCGTTTTCATGGTGGCTCAATTACCCCATGCCACCAAGCACTGAACAAAATGGCGAGGAACTCCTGTGCGCTTCGTGAAAGATCACCAGGCAGGTCCAAAAATATCGCCCCAGTCCGAAGGACTCAGCACCATCGGACGTGCAGCACCGAATCTACCGCAGCACCTGCCTAATCCGGACGCTCCATGGGACTACCATATTTGCCGATCAGTTGGGGTGGTTTGGGGGGCCAATGTAGGCATATATATATATATATATTGCAGTCCCATGGAGCGTCTGGGTAATATACTACACCTGTACATCTGAGCCTCCCAAGCCCAAGGATCTGATTCGATGCCTACAGAGCTGTTCGCAGTGCGATTTCATGCGAACGAAGCGGCACATTGCTTCAAGGTCTCGTAAATGCCCTCAATGCTGTCTTCCTGCAAACGAATGCGGCTCCAAGGCCGAGACGCGCCAGTCTCAAACACAACAACAAGGGCAGGCAGTGCCGGCCAAGCAGTACCTCCAGTCATGAATTCAAATAGGATCCAACGAGACTTGGAAAAAAATTAACAAGCAACAATGGATGCCCCCGTCAGGTTTTAGACTGTAGGCCAAACATGTAATTCCTGACCCAAAACCAACTGAACCCGTGTCCTTCATAGTCAGCAAAAAACATGAGGACATCTGAGGCTTCGGCGTACCTGCCATGCGAAGAAGTTCGCGGTATTTGCACAAAACTCAAGTAATCCACAGAAACTCTAATTAAGGAACCCCAAAAATGAACGAATCAGGCACCATAGTTTTACTATTGAAGGAAAGAAATCTATTATAATCTACGTACTATGTGTTGCAGCAACATGCACAAGAACACGGATCGGAAAGACACCGCTGCAGCAAATATGAGATCTTGGAGAGAGCCACGTACCAGGACTGGGCACTGGGCAAGCCACTGGGCTTGCCGCCACGACCCTTGGTGGCACCCCCATACTCTTTCCTCTTATATAACAGTCCTTTCTTGGGTACATCCCATTCCCTGCAATGGACGATGATGGTTAGGTTGCAGGCCTTTCTCTCAAATAAGTGCTTTAATCTTTAAGCGACTGTTGTAGCTCTACTGGGACGCCCCCAAGTCCTTTCGTTTTGGGACGGACGAACCATGCCCGGCCCTGGCACTGCTGTGCTCCACCCGACCGAATGCACCGCTGCGACTCGTCGCCCAGCGGCCGGCGTTGAACAAGGTGGGCGTCGCATGCGTGAAGAACTTCCGAGACATAAAGTCATAGCCTCAGAATGGATGGACCACATACATGGCTCGATATGCTCCGTTGGGGAACTGAAGAGTGTGCGGTTTCTCTTTTTTTTGCATGTTGCCCAGCAACATGTCACATCATCTACTTTAAATCAAACGCGCAAAGGCCATATAAGGCCGTGGTGGACTCTTCAAAAAGTTCATGTCACTGGACCCTCCATGGGAAGCATGTCAAGAGGGTGGGCTGTGATCATCTGTCACCGCCCCCACCAGGTCGCCAAGCGACTTTCTAAGGTCGCTTGCAGATCGCCGCAGTGGATGCCGCAAGCTGTTCGCATGATCCTGGGGGGGCAGGGCCCGAAGTGGCCTAAGCTAAACTTATCCCGTTGAAGAGAAGAATTGTCTGTCTACCACCACAGGCCAGAAAAAGGATTCGGCAGTTCCTTATTTCGGATGCAAATTTGATCAGCATTTGTTTCGTTTGTCTTTTGGATCTCAGTCTGTCTTCCTTCCTTCGGCTACGGGGCTTCAAATCGACCTCATCAGAACACATCCTTGGCTTGATGAAAAGGGGGAAGAAACGTGACAGTCCCGCATTTGGGAGTAGTGCTAGCAGCTGCTTGAGAGTTAGACACATCTGGACGGATCTACTGTTTTTTGAGGAGTTATATAAGGAGTTAGTCGTCCCAGCCATGGATACAACAAACATTTACATCATGCCTCTTGGGTGTGAAAGCCGACACCTAAAGAACAAGTGGACAACTTGAGTACAGTTGAATATCTCCTGAAGAGGAGGACAAGAGGAGAAGAGCTCTGATCAAATCTAACAACCTTGCACCTGGCAGGTGGAAAAAAACACTCAATGACTCATAGCCTGGGCCCTCTAGAGATGGAACCACCAAGGTCCCAAAGACAGGGACGTCCCATCAACACCGTCGTCGACCAAGCAGCCGGGCCCCCCTCTGCCAGGGATCATATGCTGAGGCCGCTCGACGATCTGGTCATGGACTCGCAGGAGATAGGATCGTTCTAACGTCTTAAAACCTCGGTTCGCGTGAGACATCGCGAAGGTGTGACAGCGTGCCAACGGTGAGATGTCTCGATGTCTCTGCAGCAAGACGTCTCGGCCTGATTCTGCTGGCATCTCTAGAAATGGAGAGAGAGAGTAAAAAACACACCAACAAACATGCCAGAATAGTAATATCCTCAAATGACAAACAAAACAGCAAAACAACACTGACAATCACAAAAATTGAAAGCCCAAGGGTCCAAAATAGTCATATCCTAAATCCCGCTGATAGTCCATGGCAGCATCCAAGCGCTCGGCATTGGCCTCTACGAATTCCCAGACATCCTGGCACCGGTGTCTGAAAGCTTCACTCACTATAATGGCTATCCCATTCCAAGAGCCCAGTGGATGATGGCGAGGTCGCAGACCTTTCAACAAAAACAGTTACACTCCCTGCCTGGAACGCCGTAGTGGATGATTAAATCAGTTCACTTTGAGAGGTATACTGGTGTTTCTGCAACAGTGGCAGTTTAGCATTCAGAACCGTGCACTTTAGCTAAAAAACGTGCACTTTGTAAACATAGGCATTCTCATCCTCCCCCACCACCAGCGAGGTACCTTTTGCAATCAAGGCTGCAGCCATTGGTGCATGACGATGAAACCAACACAAGGCTTCAAGTGGTCGATCTTTCAAATTCTCAAAGTTTTTCTCATGTTTTGGGAACGGTTTTTGCAATGGGTCATGACTCATGACGTTCTTTCACTCCCTCGCTCGACCACTGCTGCCCATGGCCCTCTCGCTCATTGGCCAACTCCTGCGCAGGAGCTGGTGGGCTCATGGGTATGTCATAGCTAGCGGGGTCATTGATGCAACTCCAGTTGTCAAAAGAATCTTTGTAAGCCTATGAACTGCTCACAAGTTGAGACCCTATTTCACCATGTTCAGCATACCAAAGCATGGTTCCTAATCCCTGTGAACCGCAGGAGGCCCAGCGATCAAAATGCCTACAGCAGTGGTTCTGAAGCTTTGATGCAAATATCACATGCACACATAGCATCATCGCTTGGGTTGACCCCACTTTATGTCGGCAACTTTTAATGTTGAATCATGTTGCCCGGGCTTGGCCTTCATCCTGACCTGCCACCTCTCAGGACATTTTTGGAGTGGAGGGGCCCCATTGCAATCGTATCCCTGGCAATGTTTTGCATGCACTGTTTTGAACTTCACAGGAACTGTTCATAGTCTATCTCTATGCTGCGTTATGCTGCGTCTAAGCCAGAGCCTCTCAAGTTCCTACGCCGTGGTTCCCATAGAACCTTGCAGCTTAGCCTGCTCTTGTGTGATGGCAGACCAGGATCTTGCTTTGCACTGGGAGGCAAGCTCAGTGATTAGGAGCAGGTTTCGGAGGAGCTTGCCCTGGCTCCAGTGGCCATACACAAAGAAGAGTGATGAGGTCGAAGAGGATGAGGAAACGAATCCGAAACAACACCCAGTCTGCACAAAGTCTGTTGAGTTGAACGCGGATGCCCTTCTGTCCGTGCTTGAGCACTTCGAGGGTGGCTTTGCAGACATTCCAAAGCTCCAGGCTGAGGCGTGGACCTTCACACATGCAAGCAGTTGACATCAATCCCACCCGGGCACATGGGAGTACAGCATGGCACAGTATCACGCACGAGTGTGTGTGTGTGTGTGTATGTGGGAGGGTGGGTGCATTTAATCGGCGCAGGTCCGCGTGCTTTATCAGTTGATGAAGCACGACGTGAAGGATGCAAAGCAGTCCAGCTACCTGGACGCATGGGATTTGAGACGACTCTACACGTTCTGCTTCCGGCGCCAATTGGACACCACCAAACGCGGCCAGCAGCCAAGGGTCCGGGTTTGCCAAAAGCAATTGTTCTTTGTATGCTCTTGCGACCTTAAGTGCTAACCAGTTTGTTCTTTTGCCTCTCCAGGATCCCAAAGTCCGCTTGCTCTTCAAGAAGATTGGTGAGTTCCGCAAGTGCTGGGAGGAAGAGCGAGCCTCCTGGGATACTTTTGAAAGTTCGGGCTCTTTCAGCTGGGATGATAATGAAGCCTGCTATGAGCAAGTGGACGAAAGTGATGGCAGCGGACTTGCAGCTCCTCCTCCTAAGCCCACTCCTGAACCTGTGGCGCATGCTGAGCCCCCACTCAATGCCCTGAAGGAAGCTGCTGCTTCACCTACACCTATCAAACCTCTCGCATCTTCGCCTTCTCTTGAAAGCTTGGCGAACCAGTTTGCTAAGTTGGACTTGGGCATTGAGATGTCTTCACAGCAGCAAAAGAACCTTTGTGAGTTGCTCTCCCAAATCGAGATGATGGAAGCTTCCAAGTCCGAAACCCAGCAAAGCATAGATCGCTTTTGAACATGCATGGTCTTGCTTCCCGAACAACTCGCTATGCGATGCAAACGTTGAAGATGATCTCTCATGTGCCACTCGATCTTAACTTAAAACCAGCTTTGCTTCTAGGCATGGTGCATCAACAACTTCTCCACCTATCAGTCCACCTGCCCGTGCCCCTACAAGTGCTTTGGCAGCATGTTGGGGCCCATCAATGGCTGATCATGTTCAACTTGTGTGGTTTACAAGTTCAACAAGAACAGCGACAACAAGAATAATGGTGGTAAAGGAACCCGTCTACCTAGCAAACCCTGATGGCTGCCCCGTCAGGCGCTCCTGCTTTGCCAGCGCCGACGAAGCTGACCGTTGATCCTTCGGAGGCATGCAGTGCTGTAACAAAGTTGGTTAGAAATCTGTATAATATGTAACCACATGTAACCTAGCAATATAATATGAAACACATTCTGCCAGCATTGTGTCGGTACAAAAGGGTGTCAGGTTGGTTGCAAATGTGCATGCATGTGTGTTGACTGCTTCCCTCTGGCAGATCGAGACGCAACCATTGGACTACGGGCTTGCTCCAGTTACGGAGGCTGCTGCGGAGATCAAGACTCCAAGCCCTTTGCCATCAAAAGTGGCGGAGGAAACCCCTCCCAAGGCGTGGTCTACCCATAGTGAAGGAAGCACCAATACCTCGAATGAAAAATGCACATATCATATACATGCCTTTTTATGTAGGTTTGTATATGTTGCCGACTTGGTTCGCAGGTGGATCTGCCTGCATTGAAGGTCACCCCTGCCATGCAGACCGAGAAACGTACATCGATGCGGAAGACTATGAAGAGGGGTCGGAAAGCAAAGAGGGGCAAGAAGGGTAAGAAAGGCAAGGGGACTTTGGCGAGAAAGGGTAGTAGGAGGGGGGTGCTCAAGGCTGTCAAACCAAAGAGCCCAAAGAGTTCTGAGGTGGAGCCTGTTGAACCGGTTGAGGAGCCACCTGCCAGCGCAGGGACAGCCTCAACAATTGAGCCCGCTCGGCGGAAAGTCTGCAAACCTAAGGCTGCAGGCAGGAATGCAAAGGAGGCAGTCAGCAAGTCTAAGCCCAAGGCGAAGGCAAAAGCCTCGACCAGGAAGCCCGCAGCTCCGGCTTCCAACAAAGCTTTGTCAAAGTCTAAGACAAAGAAGCTTACGGTTCATCAAGAGCGGGTGGGACATGGCCGCAGCTGGAGGTATGAGATTTTGGTTGGCCAACAGTTTGGTTGCACCAATTGCCGCTACATCTACCATGGTTGCAAATCGTGTCGCAAGTCAACCTTCAGGGGTAAGACAGCCGCTCAGTTGAGGGCTGAAGTTGAAGGTGCAGTGGCACCCGTTTCCAATGACGCCCCTGAAGTGGTAGAGGCTTCCAGTTCAAGCAAGAAAAGGAAGAGATCGAAGTAAAAATCACTCTTTGATCTTGGGTGTCCAGGCAACCCGTTTTTGACTTAATATACAGGCTTTGTGTTTGTGAAGATTTGTGGGCCCAAAAAATGAACCAACATGTGCCCCTGCCCAAAGCATCCCCGGTCTGGTCCTGATCAGGTACTGTGCATCGCTTCATCGCATGGTTTCCAGCGCGCCTTGCTAATCGCAGCGGTTCTTGAGCGGTTCTTTCGGCAGGGCAAGCCTTGCCTATTGGGGTTTTTGTGGTTCTTGGCCACATCCGGGGTTTGCCCTCTCTCTTCATATGCAGAGTTTGGCTTCATCAGGTCACGCAGGTCATGGAAAATATAGGCAGAAAAGCTTTGGGTGCTTCCGGATGTGTGCTGGCCACCATGGGGTCACACCGTATTAGGGAAGTCAAGGTTGTGTATGGGCTGCGAAGAAGCCAGCTCCTTCAACCGTGAGTGCAAAACTTGGATCAATCTCCGCTAGCTTGCTCAGGAAAACACAATGAGTGACAGTCGAGATGTTTTCTGAAGTGCACGTTCATGTGTTATGGTTCCCTCTCTCTCTCTCTCTCTGATGTCGGATGAACCTATGGTGACAGCATCCCAGCTGTATGTTTTGGAACGCTGATGTCAACAAAATGCCTATATAATTTAGTATATATATATGCATATATATATATGTGTGTATATATACAATTATACCTATCATTTCATGTAAACGGCAGTTTTCCAGATTTTTCCAGCAAAGGCTGAATTGGAGGGGTCTGTGTAATTCAACAATATGTGTAAAATTGGCCGATCCTCTCCGATGGCAGGTGTAAGCGCCGTATGAGCGCAGCTTGGACACTCCAGCGGAAGTGTCCGAAGAGGAGTTTGGGCACGCTTCCCCCGCGATTGCTTTTCCAGTTGTGCAATAACCGAAGCGAGTGAGAGTGCATTGAGATTCCTGCATGTCTTTTCATCTTGCAAGTGTGGATTGAATGCATGGCACGGCTGACAAGCGGTTTTTGGCGAAGAGTCCTTTGAAAGCCTTTTTTCTATGAGACATCCATGCAAAAACGCTACTCTGGGGAAACATCATGAAACATTAACCTTTGAACACTTACTCGATCTAGCCTTTCCGCGATCCAACATGCCGATGCCTGTGGCCACAATGACGAAGCTTCTGCACCAACTTCTACGGCTTGATGCACCTCGGGTTTCTCAGCTTGATTGGTAGTCAACGATGCAAGGACCATGAATTAAGTTACCATGGTCTTACGGATAATATGTCTTCTAAGAAGTTAGGGGCACAAACGAAAGGTGCAATAAGGATTCTTATTTCACCTTTGAATATACTTTGTTCTTGCATGTCCTGTCAACCTAGTTTGATTCCTCCAGGTTCTGATGATGGCCATTGTTCTCTTGTGCTTCACTGAAGGCTTGCCACATGATCAGGTGCCTCAAGTCTTTTTGCATGAAAGGCAACACACATTTAGTCAACTATACGCACCTTGTCACATGCATGCCCCTTCAAACCCCCGAGTCCATCCGGTCAACCGGGCAGGTCTATGACTG